CGCTCTGCTTTGCACTCACTTGAGGACTTCCGTGAAATACTGAGGCTTGAAGCTCTTTCTATGGCTCTTTCTCCATAATTTATTTACTGTCGATGGTCTGATGCTAATGCACTCAAGTATGCTAATTATGTGAATACCTAAGCGGTACTTACAGGAGTTCATTCACAACCCGCAAGGAATCACTTATGCTAGAATTGTGAATGAGTTTGTTGACAAAACTTTGTGCTTTAATGCATTGCATTCATATCACTAATTTCAAGTGTTGTGCGGGTATTCACTTGGCATTCACTTAGTGCTGTCTTTTGGTCAAGTAAATCAAATAATGTCCAGAAATTTGCAAACATCTCATTCATGACAATATTATGACAAATTCGAATGACTACAAGCCTTGATTGGGACATTTTTGCCTTCTGTTAACATTTAAAGATTCATAGATTCTGAATTATCTCTCATTTGCAATCTGCTGTTCGTTCGCATCGGGATTTGTCAAATTCATACTGATGATATTTTGGTAAGGCGAGCACTGAGAAAATATCAAAGAATTTATTAAATTATCGTTTTCAAATCAAACATAAGGCATACTTCTTGTTAAAGGTCCTTCCAACATTAAACTTTTCCCTTATGTTTGTTTTGATGATTAAAACAAAAACTCCTAACTATTTTACATCGAAATTGTTATTGAATATCAGTCTTCTCAGCAAACCCTACTTACTGTGCACTTATTTCTTAAATGAATTGTTTGCGCAGTTCTAAACACTATTTTTTCTCACTGACTGATATGCTTGTTACATAGATGGCTGACTGTCGATGCCAGACCTTACTGTACCGCTTCGCTGTATTGCCAGAACTATTCAACCTTAGATTCATTCTTGACGTACTTAAGTGAAGCCAGATTTCTCTCGCACTTCCTTCATTCTAATAGATGATAAAATCAGTAACCAAGAATGAAAATTCCCTAATCTATTTAACCATAAATCTGTTTAAAAAAAAATACAAGATACATTATGTTACCAGGCATCCGAGACTAACGCCTTCTAGTAACCACTTCCTGATTCTTGGGAAACAATGTTAGCTAAAACACATTCATGTCAGTAAACACTTTTCCATAAATTTTTTTATTTTCATATTGTATATAATAAATACAAAGTAAAGTAAGCAAACATATTAGCAGCTAATACAAAATAATTAAACATCAAACAATGGCAACAGCACTAAAAAAAAGATACATATTGAAAATCGGAACAATCTAAACAATTATTCTTTATCAGTGCATGGACACGAATGCACTCTCATTCTATCTTTGACTTTCAAATACAAATTTCAAATATTATCTTAAATAGGAATAAAACTCTTCTACTTAATTTCGCTACAAAATGTGGATGAATAAAAATAAAAGTACAAGCTCATACTTGACGTTAATCAAATGATGTCTTTATCGAGTTTCTTCCGATTTGCGTTTTTCATCATCCGTCGGATTTTTGAATTTATTATACTCAATTTTTTCATAAATCTCTTCTGAGATTTTAGTAGTAACTTCAATGCTTGCAATTATTTCTTGATTACAGGCGAAGTGGTAAAAAAGAATGGTTTCAAATATACCCACAGCAAGGTTACGAATTCACGAATGTTATGAGACTCCAATTTATGTTGCCACTCCGTTGATTATGCAGCAGCTTTATAGACTAGAGTGTTGAATAATGAAGGCAAGTTTAAATATTATAAGTGTCATATATGAATACAAAAGTAAAATACTAGTATAGTAGAAAAGTATTCAGTTCATGCAGGAAATATTGCACTTTAAAGTTAAAATAATCATTATGTAAGTTGCGAAAAATTTTTTTTTGTTTTTCGTCTAAATGTGAAATATCCATTTGAGAAATTTCAGCTTTCTAAACATCAATTGAATTCATATAAAAAACGATTTAGTACTTGAGTACAAAATATAAAGTAGCATGATATTACGAAGGAAAAAGTTAAACTGAGTTTATAATTGAAAGATCTAAAAAGTAAAAGCAATAGACTGTAATGGAACAAAGAATACTATTGCCAAATGATGAATTATTTCTTGATCAAGATTAGTTTCATGTCATTGATAACAGAAAACATAAACTGCCGCGACTGAAATACTTAATCATTACCAATATATTTTAAGAAACAGAAAAAATCAGTTGTAGAGAATGAATTTCACAAGCTAAAATAAAAAATAGAAGTTCAAAATGCACACAATGTGTCGATTTCAATTTTTAAAGGAGCAAATCTAGCGATAAATAATGAAATATGATTCTTTTTACTGCTTAACTGAACTCTAAAATTTAGAGTCATGTATTTGAAATCCTTTTGTTGTTTTTGTGTATTTACTGTATTTGCAGCAAAATTATATGCACAATAAACATTTAGTATTAAAAAGAGAGCAAATTACACGATCTAATTTAATTTTCATTACAAGGTTCCAGCTTGTGCACCACCAATTTTTGGAATAAAATTCAAACCAAGCCTTGCTAATGTCATATTTTTGCGTAAAGTAATGACGTCCCAGTAAGAGTCATGAACACCACACTTGACAATGCCCTGATGCAGGTAACGAATATATGTGAAAAAATCACAAACTGCAGCTATCTAAAATAGATATATCCAATTACAGTCAATTTTCTTGCTTAGTTTTTAGCAATATGAATAATATATTGTTTTAGAAAGTTTTAGACACGTTAGTTATCATTGTTTTGAAAAATGCTTCAAAAAAATCATAAAATATGATTTTCTTCGAACTATGGAATTATCATTCCATTAAGTTAGCAAGTAGATTAAAAGAGATGAAATGGCAAAAAAGTCTTGGCATGCATATAATTTTCAACCATTACAAGCAACTCGAGAACAACAACAACCTCCGCATCAATATTCAATAGAAATTTTTGCAATTCATAACAAGTAATTAACCTTATAAATAGAAAATAATTTTCCAAAAACTTTGAACCAAGAAATAAAAATTAGTCTTTAGTGTACTACAAAAATAATAAATATGAAATTAGTCAAATCAATTTCTTGAATTACGTACTCGATTTCGTGCTAATAATGAAATATAACACCATTCGAAATCACCATTTACTCGCATTTTATATGGGCAAAATCGTGGTACAACACACAAAGCACAAGTTCTGAAACTCTCTACAGTACAGGAAAGGCATATTATAATCGAAAATTCACAATGCCTAATTAAGTAAAAAAAAAAAAGTTGATAGTTGCAAAAATGCAAAACATATGACTTACAGAACTGAAGGCTTTACTTCTGAAACAGCTTCTAGCTCCAACGTATTTGCTTTAATTGCATTCAGTACTTGTTCTGTTAGCTTGAAATGAAATGATCGAAAGGAATGCTTTAAAAACATATAAATATCAAAAACTATAAATTTAAAAAATTCAAGTAAATAGGATGCATTTTCTGATTTCAAACGTTACAGGAAAATTATTTAACCTCCACATTACTGAAGTTCAGACATGGACGAACATCTTCAGCAATTATGCGAGATATAAATGATGTGGTATCGTCTAATGAAGCACCTCGCTCCCTCCACTGCGTGAATTCTCTGTGGTAAATTGGATCGATCTAAACACTCGATTTTTAATTGACGGTACATGTAAGAACCAATTATATATTAGTTTCCTCACTAAAATATGAAAATAATTAGAATCATATTACAAACATTGGCATTTTTCACAACAAACAAGTTCTAACAAACGTAAATAACAAATTAAGCTATTCATATTTCTGAAACTACATCGATTACATATTTAAATTATGAAAGTTTCGTAGTTAGTAGCAAAAAATTTTATAGAATATAGTATGATACTTCAGAAATAGGTTCAAGATTATCATTTTGAGCTCCAGATCCTTCTCGTCCTAATGATGGCAAAGTGTAACTTTTGCGACTATTTGCAGAACTATGTCGTTCTTTCCGATCTAAAAATTTACTCGCAAACATAAATACTTCACATAATGCTAAAAATATAGAATAAAAAGAGTACTGATGCAAGTAATCATTCATCACCGTGAATCGCATTATTACTGAGGAAAAACTTGTTCAGTATTTCAATCTCAATATAAGTTCAGTGAAAAAGAACTTTCAGTATGAATGCATGTCACTAACACGCAGTAAATATTCTGCATGTAGTTTGTGATAAAAATAAAATATTCACTTACGTGTGGTGCCGAGAAACCTTGAAGCTAAGCTTGTTCTTTGAGGTGTAAACAATGCAAAATTTGTAAACGACTTAGAAGTTGTTGGTGACTTTACTATAACTTTCAGAGCTTCCACTTCAGCAATTAACATATCCACCTGCAAATCTAACTAAAGCATCAAGCGTGCTAAAATACGTAGAATAAATTTTCACATGAAAAAAACATTTTACTCAATAAATATTACATACATAAGCAAATTTATTTTTGATTTTAATATAAATTTTTGATCAAGGTTAAGTATTTGAGAAAATATGTCTGAAATATGCAAAAAAATGTGTGGTATAAATATGTTATACTGACGTACTTTTAAATGACTTTCAGCAAGCAACTTTTCCGCTTTGGCTCGACGACTTTCAGCATCGTTAACCATTCGATAAGCTTCCTGAAATAGTTTTCAGTTAGCGATAATATATTAAAATTTATTTCTTAGAAAGTTCAAACATTTTATATTTAAAGTTTGCAAAACTTATGAAGAGTGATTAAAGATGAGTATTTTCGAATTTTTACAAAATCAAAATTCACCCCTATACTAATTATGTTGATGCAAATATTTTTAAACTTATTTCAAAACACCTCAAGCAAGAATATACTCTCAAATATACCTGAAAAAGTTTCTCAGTAAGTTCTTGTACTTCAGAATCAACATGATTCTGTAATTCACTTAATCGAATGCATTTCGCCTCTTTTTCAGCAATCGAATTTCTAGCAGCTCTTAATTCTTGTTCAAGCTGTAATATCCGATCAGCACCCTGCTCATAACTTTCTGTTAATCCATCACTTGCCGATGAAGAGCTACTTTCACTGCAAAACTTGACATTAATGAATCATTTTTCCAAATATTAACAGTATGCATAAATATTCGCTCATTATCTTAACAAACATAGTAATAGAATATTAAAATTGATATGCGGTCTGTGCCGTACAGCAATGCAATTACTTGGAAAGATCACATCGAAAAATGCGTTCAGAGTAATCTGTAATCAATAACAAAATACTTTTATTATTTTACTATAATATCTATTATCTTACATTTGAAAAACTTATCACTAAATTCAATTATTATATAGATGATTTTAACTTTGCTCTACAAATGCACATCTTTTAACACACACTCACTACTTTTTTATGTGAAAAAAAATACAGAAATAACTTTTTTTTCACCTTACACGTGCTGGTAAAAATATATTGTTTACATTGATTATGTTCGTAAATAAATTATTATGAGTAACTTTCGAACGAATAAATGATAGAAATCATGATAATATGATCTATACATAAAAGCATTATTATTTACAGCTGGTGAATATTCACTGCATCGTAGGGTAGGCGACAAATTGTAGTGAGGACTTGAAAAATATCAACTTGAGGAATATTTACAGGCAACATATAACGAACAAACTTGAATAGGTTATGCTGAGTTATATGTTACCAGCTCTTTGGGTATTATTTTCTTTGCTTCTTCATTCATGATCTTTAGAGCGTAATTCAAATGCATTTTAAGAGAATTTTTAATGCAGGGAGCAGATGGAAATACTTTTTTGTTTTACTCATATCTTCGTCATAAAAGCTTTATTCTGGCTTTGTTTATACATGTAATAAGCAACATTTAGTACGATATTAAATGATTACAAGTTAGCAGTAGTGATTTTTACAGATTATGAGCAATTTTTTCATATTTAGGTCTTAGCAAATTTATAATGCAGTGCAGTAATTCAAAAAAATAGTTGAAAGAAAATATTTTCA